CGGACCGCAGGGGAATAAGATCACCAGTCATGAAGGGGCTTCCTTTCGTGTTTAGGGCTTCGAGGCTTTAGGGATGTAGGGCTCTAGGGCCTATCACTGTAATTAGGGCTTGAGACTTCTGGGCGTTAGGGTTTTGGGGCTTCAGGGTTTAAGGTCACACAGCTTTCGGCGGTTTTGAGCTTTGGTTGGGGGATACTCCGGCTCCCATCAGTGGCTACACGAAAACCCCGATACCCTCTAATCCTTCGATGCGTCCGATAATCCCCCAATGCCTCTATGCGTTAAGGAAAAGGAGCAGTCTCCCGGACCGTCTCAAGAAAAGAGCCGGGCATGTCACAAACGCCAAGAAACACCGGGAAGGCGACCGCGGGATCCTGTGCGATCCTGGGCTACAGAGCGGAGATTGGAAGCCGTTGGTGTGCGAGCGTGTCATGAAAGGAAAAGGTATGAGAATGGACGGTATCACGTTAAAGAGCACGTCGTTTGGAGAGCACTTCGTCATATACTTGCAACGTGCTTTCTGGAGCTTGAGGCTTTGCTTCGCCGGCACGGGGTTAACTGTCCGTGTCCGTTGCTAAAAGAAGCATGTGCCTTGCTTGCAGCAGCAAATCCCAAGACAAACAAGTCTCGCTTCGACAAACCACGATGCATCAAGCTCCTTGCTACTGCCCGTGCGAACTTGCTGCCAAAATATTGCGGACCAAAGGTCTCTGGGTGCTCTTTCACCACCCTGATGAAGTTCTCAGCTTCGGTGAGGACATTGCTTGCAACACGCGCGCACCTGCCCACGACCACCACACACATGCAGTGCTGTCGGGCTTGTGGCTCCTCGTCACCCTGAGAAGAATAGCAACAACACCAGCAGCAGCAGCAGCTGCCGGAAGGGGTGCAGAACCAAGAGAAAGAAGAAGGAGAAGATCCACAACAGCAGCAATGACTTGCAGTAGCATAGGTAGCAATGTGATGGACTAAGCTTGTCCTCGCAACAGGGCATGTCCGTTGATCCCTCATCGCGAAATCACCGAAGAAATCCATCCGCATTCCAGGGCCAATACTCCAGCCACCCGGCACCCTAGTGCTCCAGCTCTCGAGCCCCACAGCCCACCAGACCATATCTCGCTTATGGTTGGCGCATCGCCAGCAAGGAGCCGCCTTTTATCTACCACACCCTCAGCCCGGGAGGTTTAAGCCCTTCAGCCCTTGCCCCAGCTCGCCTCACTTGCTTCAGGACCAGCTCAGCCCCTCCACTTACGAGCCAGATGCCCAGGTTCAGGCCGCCCTTGAAGCCAGACATCTCCTGGGAAGAAGCTTGCCAAAAGCATGAAGCTTCGGGGGAGCGAGCGAGAGAGAGAGAGAGAGAGATAAAGAGAGAGAGAGAGAGATAGAGAGAGAGAGAGGTAGAGAGAGAGAAATAGATAGATAGATAGACAGAGAGGGAGAGAGAAACGAAATTGGTGAAGAGTATCGGTGCTTACCCTAAGCCCTAAACCGACTTTGAGGCTGTTGGCAACTAGATTAGCGGCCGAGAGCGCTCCATGGTCGGCATTATCCTCGTAGTCGCAGTTGCGATAGTAACGGTAGCACTAGCAGTAGCAGCAGCAGCAGCAGCAGCAGCAGGAGTAGCAATAGTAGTCGTCGTCGTATTAGTAGCAGCAGTAGAAGTAGAAGAAGAAGTAGAAGTGGAAGGAGGAGTAGAGGAGTAATAGTAGCAGCACTAATACTAGTACTAGTACTAGCAGCAGTAGCAGCAGCAGCAACATAAGCGGAAGAAGTAGTAGTTGTTGTTGTCGTTAAAGCAGCAGCAGCAGCAGCAGCAGCAGCAGCAGCAGCAGCTGATTCCACAGCTTTCATGAAGAATTGTTTTTGTTGGCCCTTCTTCCCCTGCCTGGATTTGTGCCCGCCCACCGAGGCTCAGCTGCTGGGCAAGCTGGGCCCGGATCTGCTCAGCTCGGCTTGGGGCCGTTTGGGGTTGAGGGTCTGGGGGTCGAGGGGTTGCGGTCTCGGACTTTGGGGTTTAGGGTCCAGTCCGGGTCCTGCCGGAGTGCAGGATCTGGGGCAAGTTTAGGGCCTTTGAGGGCCGCCAGGGATTCCGGAATGCTCAGCTTTAGCGCTTTGGAGTTGGGGGCAGGGCCGTGCCAGAGCACGAACCCACCAGGCTTCGATCTGCAGGCGGTGGGGTATGCATGGATTTACAGTATGCATCTATGTAGGCATCGATCTACCTGTCAGTCAGTCAGTCCGTCAATCCGTCTGTCTGTCTGTGTCTCTGCTTTAAGCTAGTCCCATTATTGGGACCTTCGCCCTGCAGTTCTCAGAACATGGACCAGGACATGCATGAACCCCAAATCCCAAATCCCCGACAAGCTAAACCCTGAAAACCGCCCTGAAACCTGAACCCCGCGAAAGCCAAAAATCCCGAAAGCTCTACATCCCGAAAGCCCCAAAACCCTGAAGCTTCCCTCTGCCTCGGGCTGCCGTGGTTCGAAGCTCCCGTTCACCCGGATCTCCTGGCAGTGTTGAGGGTTACCGATTACTCGTACTAAAACCGCCCATGTGCTGTTTTCAAATCTTGGGCAACCCGGCCCCTCGAAGCGAAGCCACGAGCTCCGCCGCTGCGGCTGCTTGCGCCGGGGTCTGCCGGGTTCTGGGTGCTTCAGGGGCCAAGGGTTTTGGAGGTTTTGGGATCGGATCGGAATCCGCTCTGTCTGCCTCATTGGGCCTAGGGAGTTTTAGGATCATGGGGTTACAGAGGGCCATGGAGGTTCAGGGGCTTAGGGAGTTGAGGATGTTCGGGCTTTGGGGTTTATGCAGAGCTGCAAGGCTCTGACTGAATTCTGCTTCAGGGCCTTTGGAGGTTTGGAACTTCTGGGCTACCCTCTTCGTAGCCTTTTCATACCCTTACAGAAGCCTTAAAGTCTTAAAGTACCCGCATAGCCTTATAGTAGCAGCCTTATACTACCCTTAAAGTGGTGCTTTACAAGCAGTGCTTTAGATCTCCTGGGGGTCTGTAGCCAGGGCTCTAAGATGAAATGGCCGGCTCTCTGTGGGAGATCGGAGGTTCCTACCAGCTAAGACTGTTCGAATATGAAAAGTACACACACGACCGGAGTTCGAGGTCGAGGATAACAGAAGCCCAAAGGACACCTAAACATAAACTGTTTGAGGCAATATCCCTACAAGGGGCTAGCTGTCAACGGTTTGCGTGCGTGCCTGTGGTCCCTAAATTGCAGCGAAACCCCAAGTCGGAAGCATCGAGCGCAACAGTGCCAAGTTCAGGTGCACGAATTGGTGAATCGATGCTTTGCGCTGGGTTGAGCCATTTCCCAACCGTTCCCAGCTGTTGAGTGGAGAGTACAAAGGGGGTCCGAAGAGTTGCCAAATACTCTGCACACAATCTCGGTCAAAGGCGTCCATCCTCCACTTGGTTTTCATGCCTTCCTTGAGCAGCGATCGGGGCATGAGGGGTTGGAGTCCGCAAACTGGACGCCATGATGATCCTGCACGCTTCTCCAACCCTAAACCCTAAAGTTACTATGTCTGCACAGCTTTGCCTACTGGCAATCGCAGCCCCCGTCATTACGTGGCCGGGGCCCAGCCAAGCCCAAATTCCGACTGGCCCTGAACCTTCACAACAGCCCCAAGAGAGAATATGTAGTATAGAATATACAATCTGTAATTATAACCGCGTACTGTATACTCTATGCAGCGGTATATATATATATATATATATATATATATATATATATATATACATATACATATATATATATATATATAATACATAAACAACATATAATAGGAAACCTAGAATATGTGATATGTAGTGTGTAAGATATGATGTATAATGAATATTTCTTACCATCTAGTCTGTAATATGAAGTACATAACACCTGTCATATGTCATATTTGCCATATATATATATAGCCTATAGTATATACGATGCAGAGTAAATACTAGATACTATACAATATAGACTATATCCAATATCTACTATATCACATACCCGCTTCGACTCTGCAGCCGCTTCTGCGCATAGTCATGATCCTGACTCTCTTCCGGTGAACCCTGCTATCCTTGGAGGCCTCAAATAGTGGGATGAGGGTAGGTAGGATTAAAGCTCCTCATATAAGGACTCTCATTTTGGGATTGTGGCCACCTACCTTCATCGCAACCTTGAAGCCCTTTTGACAGGGGTCTTGCCAGCCTGGTCAGTGTTGCATTGCTACCCTAAGCACCTGAGGCTCTAACCCCTTGAGCTCACGAAGTACTTGAACGATCAGGGGACTTACTAAATAAGTAGGATTGTAGCTAGCTACCTAACTAGGCTATCAGTGGATAAAACTACAGTTACCTTACTTTTTACTTCTAACCCTACTTACTGAGTCCCCTGATCCCCTAAGTAGTCTTCCCATGCTGCCTGCGAAGTCGTAGCCTTCGGCGTCATACCCCCCGAGGGGAAAAAGCTGGCCGTAGACGCCGCGGGTGCTGGTGTCCTCCATGTGGTGTTCAGGGTTTGAGGGTCCGGCTTTAGTACAAAGTATAAGGCCAAGTCCCAGGTTTCAGGACTTAGATGAGCCTCATCTGTTGCTTGCAGGCAGAAAACTTTGCACAGAGGTCTGCAGCTCCAAATCTTGGGGTCCAATGCCTGGAATTTGTGGTCAAAGGCTCAAAGTCTTATGATTTTGGAATGCCAGCTGCTGCTGAGGGCTTGGGGTTTAAGGCCTAGGGCTCAAAACCCGAGACCGCGCAGAGGAAGTCTGCCAGTCAAAAAAAACATGTCTCTCCATGCTGAGGGCAGCATAATTCCTCTTAGTGCTTCTTGCTACTACAAGCAGTAGCATTGCTGTCCACAGTCCCATATTAGCCTTGTGTGTGTGCGCGGGTGCTTTGTCTTGTTGGCTTTTGTTGTTCTCATTTTCCCTCACCTTATCATTCTTGCCATTGTTACCATGATCGCTGTGCTTACCACTGCCATCATCGCCAGCATCACGGTACTAGCTGATGCTTATTGCCATCGGAAGCTTCGGCCCGACCCCAGACCTTTAAGACGGAAACCGAAAGATCCCCAAAGATCCCACAAAAAGGCCCCTCTGCCCGGCCTGTTGCTGTCAGGAGTTGGAGGCCGCGGCCCCATCGGCACCGCGGCCGAGACTTTGCAACTGACGACCTGGCCCTGCAGCGACTTCTGGCTTAGGGCCGCTTTTCCGTCAGCGGGGTTTGGGTTCAGGGTTTAGGGTTTCTGTGTGTCCGTGTATGTCTGTATATGTTTGTATGTAGATTCCACATAGAGTCTCATCGACAGACAGACTCACAGGATTTGGCGCCTGCGGCCTTGTATGCCAAAACAATCTAGAGATCACTACTCCACACTGAGTTGTCAAGTAATTTAGCATCCAGTTGCCGCGTCCATCTGCACATTGTTGTTTTACACGGGCTCTAGTGACTAGTGGGACCTGTGGAGCTCTAAACAATCAAGCAATTGATTAGAAGCATGGGGGTTACATGACAGAAGCTCACGGTGTGTGCTGCGAAAGAATTTATATGTTCAGTCTACAGAGCTTAAGGTGCGGATTTGCATCACGAGTCGGAGAACCATGAGATCAGGTCCAGCTATTGGCTGGTTCCGAAATACCCCCATTCGGTTGCGAGCGATGCACAGATTCAATTCAACTGACGCTCCGGCTTGCTCTGCACAGGATGCTCGTAGATGCGAAAGTATTTCGCCGTCGAAATCTACAACCCTACTACAAGTATCAGAACCGGTCTGGGAACCTTTAAAGCTCATCGCAAACCAGGCGAACCTCGCCATACCTTCCCGATGGGATGGAAAATGCCGTCGGGGGCATGTGGAAGCCCAATGGCGTGGCCCCGCTGCAGTCCGTGGCAGCAAAGCCTCGACAGGTGTGTTGTCTTTGAAGCATTATATGTTATGTACGGCACATTATATCTTATATACATCTAGATTTATCTGTTTATCTATGTATTTAGTTTTTCAGTGTATACTATAGTCAATTGCGAGAGGCTTTGTTGCTCGGCTCTGCCACTGCAACGTTGCTGTTCGGGACGTAGCTTGAAAACCCACCCGTAATGAGACTTTGGTTGAAAACTACATCGCCGTTGGATCGAACGTGGCTGTGCAATCATGCATTCAGCTCTTGCTCCACTTGCTGGTAAGTTGCCATCGTTGGCCATGTAAACTTTCTGAAGAGGCAGCACCACACGGGTGGCTTGACGAGGCACATCCTCAGAAGCGGAGCTCAAGTCGCAATCAAAAACAAAGCAGCCCAAGAATCGAGCACTTTTAACGCCAAGCCTCTCGATCACCCATGGGTGGCAGAGGGTATGGCGCTTGGTCACCAGGGATAGTTGGTGGAAGTGGCAAGTACGCCTCTCGATCACCCATGGGTGGCTCAAAATATGGCGCTTGGTCACCAGGGATAGTTGGTCGCAGTGGCAGGTACGTCGCAGGAGTCGGAGGAGGTGGCGGAGCCGGTGGAGCCGGGATCGCTTCCTCTACCTCTGCTGCACTATGAGAACGACCCCAATTTTCGACTAGTTTCTTCCAACATATATATATATATATATACGCGTATGTATACACATATATATACACATATGTATATATATATATATATATATATGTGGGTGTGTTTATTATTGTAATGCATGATACTCAACATGAGCATGCGCCTTTGCCGGGGGACTGCTGAAGCTTCGCTATCGCTACTCGGAGGTGCTGCGGAGGCCACCCCATAATGCAATGCCCTCAAGTAACCAAAGTTGTTGGAGCAGCGTCGGATCGCATCCACACACTCCCCTGCTGCCGTCAGAATTCAAAACTGCAACTGAGATGCGTAACGCGAGACATTTTCCGGAAGCGCCCTCTTCTTGACGTCCAGGTCGTACAGACCATCGGCAGTGATTCCCTTCACTTCGGCAACGACCGTCTGTGAGTGCGTCTTGCTGTAGTAGAACCTCGAAACCAGGAGGGTCCAAGCACCCAGCGACCAGACAGGCAAGGCAAGCTGTTCAAGCGAAGCAGAGCCAGGTGGCACTTTGTCGCCTATGTTGAATCTCTCAGAACCTGCAAGAGCACGACCGCAGGCAAAACGTATGCAAACCGGAAAGACTCTACGATTCCACGATCGCCTGGGAGGGCAACCTCGTTGTTTTCTCTTCTGATCTCTGTGGAGGTGGGCAGCTTCTGCTGCTTGCCTGCCTGAGAGTCCTGACTCGCAACACATCTTGCTTGGGTGCTGGACAGCCTGTGATTGCAACTCGGCTGGCTAGCAAGACCATGAAAGTGATGACTTTGCAAACCAGGCTGGGCGGCGTAACAGAGGATTCCATCACCGCCACGGGTTTCGGTGGGCCACCTCTCTGCATTCTCCACGTGCAAGGGTGAAGGAAGCTCGGTCAGAACCTCTGCACAGGAAGCAATCGAAATTCAAAAGGTATATGTAACTCTATACATGTGTGTATATATATACACATATACATGTGTATATATATATATATATATGTATACTATTTTTTACACATACAACTGTATGTGTGCATGCATGCATGCCTGTCCGGGTATGTGTATGTATATGTGTGTATGCAGATGTGTATGCATATGGACACACAGGTGCATCTTCCTGTGAATGCATACAAAAACATACACATAATACGTCTAGGAGTACATAAACTTATATGCAAAACTCATGAAAAAAAACAGTAGCAACGGCTGCCTGTGTAAAAACACACATCCTCGATATTTCATTCAAATGAGTGTGTACATATATATATATATATATATGTGTGTGTGTGTGTATGTATGTATGTATGTATATGGAGGCATATATACATATACAGCTAGATAGATAGATAGATAGATAGGTAGATAGATAGATATTCACCAGTTTGTGTGTACATATGTACATAGTATATTTACTTTCACTTATTTATGTACGTAAATGTGAACATGAGCTCATACACATATATGTGTTCATATTCTCCTATGTTTTTACATGTATATGTGCGTACATAAATAAATATACATATATATATATATATACATATGCATGTACATACACACACATGCATATGCGCATACATTTGTACATCCTCCCCTCACATACATACATACACACCTAATTGCTTCATGCGTTTAGTAAACCCCGCCCCCTAATATCGTCAGTTTCGGGCAGAAAGTTCAAGAATGAACAAAAGTTACTTATGTTGAATTAGGGGTCAGGTAGGATGGCCATAATGCGATTTGAACGGATTTGGAAATACCAGGCTAGGGCCGCGATGGACGTCTAGGAACAAACACGCGAGATCTGAGATCCGGAATTCGAAGTCTGGAAGTCAGTCTAGAATTTGCAATTCCCGGGCTAGGGCCGCCGTCTATGAAAAGGAACGCGATGGACTGCCATGCTAGGGCCGCAACAGCACAAATCTGACTTGATCGGGACTTCATCCGGAATTCCAGGTCTGGAAGTCTAGGATTTGCAATTCTCACGCCAGGGCCATTAATAAAATAATGAGCAACCATTTCTCAACAACAACAATAACAACAACAACAACAACAGCAACAGCAACAGCAACAGCAACAGCAACAACAACACAAAACATCAATAGCGGCAACATACATACATACATACATACATACATACATATATACATACATAGGCAGGCAGGCAGGCAGGCAGGCAGACATACAGACATACATTCATGCATGCGTACATATCTCTTTGCTTTGCTTCGCTTAGGGGAATGGGGTGCAGGCAGTCCATGTACCCGTTGCTCGTTCGAGCAGCCCCATCCTCCATTTTGGTAGGATGGGCTCAGCTGTGCTTGGGCTGGTGCCCTGGAAAGTTGGAATACAATCTCTCTCTCTCTCTCTCTCTCTCTGCGGCTCTCTCTCTCTCTCTCTCTCTATCTCCCTCTTTTGCTCTCTCTAGATGCACACAGCATACCGTGCGATAAGCTTAACACATTACGATACTATCATCTCGTACGCCGTATGTGATACTGCACGCACTAGACTGGATTAGTATATACCAGTGATAGGGCAAAAAGCTCCATGAAATCAACAAGAGATGCTCGGGCCTCACAGCACTGTATCTAGCACGACATGCTATTACCGAACGGAACAACAGAACTGAGTGGAGTTACGTGGAAAAAGACGTGCCATATTGTATGACACTCAATATGCACATGTGCGCAAATGTAGGACACCAGCAATGCTGCATGTATCTGCATGTTCCAATCGAGGTGCGTTTCCTCTGTGCTTGCGCGAATCATTGTCTGCTCCAGCGCTGTCAACGACTTCACCTCAAAGCAAATCCACTCACTGCTGGCACTGTGGAAGCAGCTGGCCGCAGCCACAGCCCAACACAGCGGACCGAAAACCGTAAACCCATAAACCCCAAGGCCTGGACAAGGGTAGGAACCAAGGCCAGCACAGCATTGCCATTGCATCCGAGCCGCCGGATTGGATCTTGGCGATCTTGGTCAAGTCGGCACTGGATCAGGGAGCCGAGCTAGCTCAAGAACGAAGAGTTTTGTGCGGGGTTGTATTGCGTTTCGCGGGCTTCAAATGGATTTCTTCACAATCAAAAGGGTGTCAAGGATTCTGGGGTTCCGGACGAAGGGGGTGCATACAGATTCCACGACCCGGGGCAGCTCGAATAGACTCTCATCGCTGAACCAAACCTCGCTTTCCTGCCTTTCTACGTCCGTTTACCGGGAATCGTCCGTGTCCGTGAACTATCAAGAGGTTCCTTCATCAGGAGTCCCAATTAGGTAGCATCATTAATTATTGCAGTTCTTGATATGCGCAGCCATAAACCCCAAACCCAAACCCGGACTTTCCATGTTGCAGAAGAAGAGTCTGAATGCTTCGAACGTGCTTTGAATGCATCGTCGTATACCTGTAATCAAAACCCTAAACAAATGTTCGTCAGTCGTCTGGCCCCATAGTACCGGCCTCTTCTTACAGGCAAGATCGATTGCTTGGACCACACCACCCACCACGTGGACTTTGGCGATCCGGGTCCTCAAAAACCTGATGCACGGCAGCAGCAGCAGCAGCAGCAGCAGCAGCAGCAGCATCAGCAGACAATCGTCCATACGGGACTGGAACCGTGTATGAACAAAGGTACATGTGATCATGATATGATAGATAGGTGTTTACATGTTAAACACAACCCTAGATAGGTGGATAGGTAGATAGATAGACAGATAGATAGGTCGACAGATGTAGCTTGATGCAAACATCATTCCATTCGTACTGACCCTATTACTTTGCCACACTTTGCTGCTTATTTAGGTCTGTGTGCATGCCTGCAATGCCAACTACTCGGTATACATGCATTCATTTCTAAGTCATGTATGTTACATCCGTTGACGAACGTCTTTGCGTGCAATACTGTGCGTTCAAACACTTTTCCGCAGGATTCAGGACAGTCTTTTCTAGATCCCCATAGCAGGACCCTTTATTCATACACGGACTCCTGTGATCAAAGCGCTGCTTTCAGCAACTTTCATGTTCTGTTCTGACTTCTGTGACCTAGACCTAGACTCTAGACCTTACTTAAGCTCTAAATGCCTGAAGCACACGCCCACATTCCTCAACCCCTAACTTCCGATCCCTCCCCTGGACGCCACGCCGACACATCACAATCCTACACAGAATCCTCAAGATAAGGATGCAAAACAACTCGAACGAATATAAAGCATCCAATCAGAAGCCAAAGCGCCCGGAGTGCGTGCGACTGTGGTAGACTACCGCCTCGCCATCTTGAAAATATCCTTCGGGTATGTCTCTGGCCTCTGACTCCAAGGCTTCTTTTTGTGAGCTTGGGACCAAAGGTGTGGGGTTTTGCGATTGAAGTTTCCGTAGTTTGGGGGTCTGATTAGGGTCTTGTTTTAGGGAGAAGGGTTCGAGTGGTCGCATCAGGATTGGGGATTTTGGGTTCAGAAGTCAGTGTTGGCCAGGCCAGTCTGCGCCACCGCAGACAGGGATTTCAAGATTCCTTTCAGGCTACCTGTCTCCATGAACTAAAGACAGGTTTTACAAACTAGCTTTACCTGTGTACCAGGCTATCACATTTCAGTGAGGACCTGGCCAGAAACGATAGCTTGAAGAAGCTTCACCGGCACCCTGCCCTGAACCCCCGACAATGCTATCACTGCATCAAAGTGCAGCCGAAACTTCGATCTAACAGGTTGCATATTCAGGGCACTGAGATTGCGACAACAGTGTAGCTCCAGAAAACAAGGAACCCCAACAAAGACCTTAGGATTTTGATGAAAAGGACAATTAACCAGCGATCCCGAATTCGTTCACATCGCCACACCACCACCAGTCTTGCAGAGAGGCTGCCTGACTCTCTGACGGCATCACGAAATGCCTCACTCTGCGGGGCACAACGCAATGAAGCAATGCACATGTCAGAAGCCCAGTGCATCCTGTGCCAATCATGCCGCATTTATGGCCGCAGAATAGCCAGAATTTAAACTCACAGACTGAGACCCAGGGCGGAACAGACCTTGCAGCCTGGGGTGCACTGCTTCATCTGACGTGTCCACAGGCATGTCCTTTCTTCTGGAGGCTTTATTGAGCTGGACAAGGGACGTGGACGGAAATCGTTGTCAGCCATGAGCTAACCGGCACAGGCTCAGCCTATCCCTGTCAGATTTGTAGGAAATCGATGATGACACAACAACAAAGTCAGCCGCAATCAGCCTAGGCAGACCTTCACCTAATGCTCCCTCCTGCCCGGATAAATTTCAACAACAGGCACACCGACTCACATGGTGTTGCAGCAGGTATCAGTCTGCACCGCTCGCCACATTCCTCGAAGTCCTACCGTAGCCCTATCCCAGCCCTCGTGCCGAGCCTTGTGCTGACAATCACAGCAGGCGGATGCATAAAAATAGGGAGAGCACACTGCTTGTTACTCACTTATCAGCTTGGGCAGAAGTTGCAGGGAAGTCATCTAACGTGGTTCTTCTTTTCAGGCGCAGCTCTCAGCGCTGTAGCGTCTACTTTGGGTGCTCTGCTTGATGCGTTTTCATGGTCCTTCCGGCTTCGTTGTCTGAACTGTCAGGTCACGGGATGGCATTGTCTCATTTATCTCGGGCTTCGGTGCATGTGAAGATCATGACTACCCTAAGGGACAAGCTGCATGCGGGCCACAATCATCAGACGATCAGAGTTCAGAAACATTCAAAAACCTGCTCCACTCGCATCCAGGACTTTGGGTCCTGGGGTGCCAGGATCCTTTCTCTTGAACACGTCATGCATGCCGGTTCACTGCACAAGGATGCAAAAGCTGTCCTAAGAAATCGGATGTTCGGACACTGCGACAGGATCCTGAGTTCTTGCTGCAATAAGCTCCGTTCATCGATGCTTCAAGTTGGACAAAGCAACTTTTTTTGCCAAAAGCCAGGCCACATGGACAATGCGATAGATCCTGAAGCTATGCTATGTACACACCCACGCCCTGGGATGCCCAGGGTCAAGAGGCTCCAGCTTGAGGCAGGGCAGGTCTATTGCCTCTCTCATCTTTCACAACCTGACAGCCCGAAACATCATTGATGTTGGTGCGTGCATGCGTAAACGCAAAAATGCATGGTGTGCATAAATGCATGCATCGCAAGGTCGCATGTCGATGTCAGCTGGAGCGGGCAGAGAGCAAGTCGAACCTTTTTCCTCACAGAACCTTGAGGCACCGTGCAGGATGGCTCTCACACCGCCTGGCGAATGCTTCCCCGTGCGAATCAGCCCGCGGCCAGCCGCACTTCGACCTGCTGCGCAGGGCTTAGAGTCTGGAGAGTGAAGAGCTGAGAGCAGCTTGTGTCTGCAGGGGTCCGAGGGATTGGATTTGGGGATGGCTTGCCAGGTTCGCATCGGTAGAAGTCGCAGCACATCATCTGGAAACGGATTCCGCAACATGCATGCCCAAAAGAAACACAGACAACGGAGCCCACCTGATCGATCGGGCACCGAGGTTTGCGCCCGGGCTCGCACAGCCATCGATCTATGCATTTGCGGTGAAAAACATGCCTCAAAGCGCGCAAGGTTTCACATGATCGGAAAACAAAAACAAACAGAAGCACCATTTCCGCACAGTCTCTTGGGCCAAGAGGCATGCAAGGGAGAGTTCGTATCTTGGCTCCGACCTCCATGTTTTCGAGGCCTGGAAAGACAGCAGACCGGCCGGAATCAGCTGTTAACCTTCCATTAGCAGGTCAGTCGTGTTGAAAGGAAAATCCGGTCGCGAGCTAGGCCATGGTGATTCAAGCAGTCCCGGACACTCTGAGCTTCCAGGATCCCCCGATGTGACCGATTTGGCAACAGTCTCGACACTCCACGAACTAGACACACAAACGACTGCTGACTGCTGGTAAGGTGCAGATCATGCACTGAGCAATGGTGCTGCCCGCAGCCACTTTCGACAGAGGAAGCGCTGCGACGAGACTTTGCTGGAGACACTTCTCCTCCAGCCAGGGCTTCTCATGGAGTGCTCATGAGGATGCCTACCAAAAACCCTTGGATCACAGCAAAGCCGGCAAAGCCGCTTGGGCATTGCTTGTGTACTGCCCCCCTTACGGTAGCACTCTAGAGTAGGGTTACTACTAAGGTCCTAAGATATCTATGTTATGAGTATTCTTCAACTAGTACTGAGCTGGGCCAGTACCCAAGGCATTGCCTTTCTCCCCGGCCTCTGCCCTTGCCGCACCGCTGCTGGAGCTCTCGTCCAATTGGAGTAGGAGCTCATAGTCCTCAAGCCACTGAAGACTAAACCTATATCCAAAAGCCCAAACCCCTAAAACCAATTCCCAGAATCCCTGAAGTTCACTGAAAAACCTAGTCTCTAAGAAACCTTAAGCCAGTGTCCTCGGCCGTGAAGTCGCCGCCCTTGGAACAGGCAGTCGTGGTCACTACATGTCCCTGTGCGCCACGGAAGTCCCCTAAACCCCAAACCCTACACCCTCAACCCCTAAACCCTGAAGCCCCTAAGCCCTAAACCCCTACACCCCTAAACCCTAAAGCCCCCCTGAACCCGAAGCCCCCTAAAGCCCCCAAACCCCAAACCCTCCCCAAACTCTCGGCCCAGAGGCGTTCTGCAGCCGCGCCTGGAGCTGGCTTTGGAGGCGCCGTCGGGAGGTTTCGCCCCTCGCAGCTCCACCTTCCCCCAAACTAGGGGTACCTTTAAAGGGATCCATAAGGGCTCCTTAAAGGGATCTATAAGGTTTCTATAAAGGGTTTAGGGTTTGGGAGCTTCCGAAAATTGGGGTACCTTGCTTTGGGGTCCTTATAGTAAGGATCCGACTATGTAGGGTACTATATTAGGGTCCCCTATATTCGGAAACCCCCAAACCTCCTAAAACCTTAAAACCCTCAACCCTCGACCCCTGAAGCCCCTAAACCCTCAACCACGAAACCCCTAAACCCTAAACCCTAAACTTAAACCCTAAACCTCTATACCCCTAAACCCTAAACCCCTGAACACCCAGGTCTCTAAGGTCCTTCTCACGGCAGTGTGAGGAGTTGATCAGGGCTTTGCAGGCGGGTTGGGCTTTTTCGCCAGGCATGTTTGAAGCGCGGGGTGTAGGCATTTGGGGGTTTAGAGTTTTAAGGTTGATAGTCTTATGCCCTGTAGCGGTTTTCTGAACAATACAAAAAAAGGCTTTGTTGGGGTATTGTGGAGGTCTTGTAAGGGGGTCTAGGTCTTTTAAGGGCTTTGCTGCGCCATTGGTTTTAGGTTTCGGGCTTTATGCGTTAAATGTTGAAGGTGTTTAGGGTTTAGAGCTCCGGGTCTTAGGGCTTCGGGTGTCTTGCGCGCTTTGGGTTTTAGGGCTAGGGGTTTAGGGCTTGGCACCCCAAAAGAGCCAACTCCCCCAAAGATCCGAAACTGCCCCAGGTTGTTCAGTAGACCTCTAAACAGTACCACTAAAATCCTAAGTCCTAAACCTAAAACTCTCAACCCTGAACCTTAAACCGTAAACTGCCGCATACCAACTACCCTCAACCGTTAACCCTGTATCCTAAGATTCACCTCGTCGAACGGGGCCCGATGCTTCGGCCGGCACTGGGTCCTGCACAGGCAAGTTTTTCGGGCCTTGGGGTTTAGGGTTTAGTGACTTTAGGGTTTAAGGCTTTAAGGTTCAGGCTTTGGGGTTCGCCTCTTTTGGGCTTGTAAACTGCTTGGAAAGGGCGCCAGGATTCTAGCGTTTGCTGAAGGGCCTACACTGAGTCACCTTCTCCGAGTATGTTCAGGTGCCCAGGGCTGAGGTTGGCGTTGGTGTTCTTCCGCAGTTTCGTTGCTTTGCTTGAAAGTTTAAGGCGTAGAAGGAGCTTTAAAATCTGCTCAGAGCTTTTGTTAAAGCACGAGTGGTTGCTACAGCATCTACGGCGTATGAATAGTCGCCATTGGTTGTTCGGACTATGTTGTTGAGCATTCTGTGCTAGCGTTGCCCTTTTCGCGGTGTCGCTTCTTGTGATTGTGTGATTTGACCTGCTCAGGTTGAAACCGCTTGCGGCTTTGAAGAAAGGAGACAACCAACAACTCTCACTATTCGCGAGGCGTCGCTTGCACAGTAGGATCGTCACGGTGGAGAGATTGCAGTAGATAATGGCATATTATGGTAGATTCTGGTATACTTTAGCACGGGACAGCATATTGTAGTAGCATTGTAGCATGTTATAGTTTATCAATGTCGGCACGGCCTCCGGGAAGGCTTCCGCGGAGAGTGCTTGCAGATCTAGATCTGGGGGAAAAGCGCCGGCAGGCCCCTGAGGATGAGGGAGCATGGTATATTTTGGGCTATTATGTAAGACTCTAGTATTTTACGGTATCTTCTAGAACACGAAAGGACGCAGTACTAATAGCAAATGATGGTACCCTACGGCATAGAACAGCAAATACGAGTAGAGTCGATGGTACATTACCTCAGAATAGATTACAGCGTATTACAGTATATTATGGGGTTCAGGTGAAGCAGTGGGTCAAGAGGCTTAGCAGACGCAGTCAGCAGTACGTGGCAGTACGACATGCGTTATATACGAAAAACCATGACATACTATAGTATACTATAACATACAAAAACTTATTACAAGCACGATGTACTGTGATATGCATTAATTTGTTGCACCATGATACCTGCGGCATACTACACTATACCATAGTATCTACTACAATACACTATGGTATACTTTCAGTCACTCTATATATATATATATATATACATACAGATACAGATACATATATGTATAGATATATATATATATACATACGCCATACTATGCTGTACCTTGAGATACATTGATATGCTATGATATACTATGACGTACCATGATATACTGCAACAGACTGTAACGTACTCTGTGCTGCTATGACTACAGTGCACTGAGATACACTATGGTATACTATAGATTAGTGTCAGATACTGTGGTATACTAAACGACCAACAGCTACTGTAGAATACTCTAGTACTGCAACATACTGTGATACACTTTGATATACTATATAATACTACGATTCACTACAACACATGTACTATGGTATACAACAACGTACTGAAATATCCTGTGGTGCACTTTGACGTACTATGACATGCTTTCATATACCATACGCAACACACGACGATACACTGTGATAAACTGGAACACACTAGAATACACTATTCAAATATACAGTGGTACACAATAACACCCTATGACATATTATGAGATATTATGATATACTCTGATTGTCTACCATATACGACAGTAGGAATCATAAAGAGAGGCATCTGGCTCGCCAGAGCGAGGTGCCGGGAGCTGCTCCACTGCCGAGATGGCTGCTGACCTGGGAACAGGCAACCGCAAGAAAGCACGAGGACATGTTAGAGTATACTGTAGTATATCCTAGTACACTATAGGATATGTTAGAGTATACTGTAGTATATCATAGTACACCATAGGACATGCTAGAGTATACTGTAGTATATCATAGTACATTATAGCAAACCCTGTAGTGATTGTAGTATACAGTAGTATACTGTAGAATACTCTCAGTATATTAGAGTAAACTATCTATTTGTTCAGAATCTTAGGATTCAGGATCACAGCCGTACGAGTGTTAGGCATAGGAGAAGGTTCAGGACAACCCGCGCCTGGCAGCAGCATCCAGACCAGCATCGAACTGCACGTCGTCGTGACCAGGACCTGCAGACTGCCTGGTCAGCCCCCGAATCAGCGGCAGACACGCCTTGGAGCAAGTTTTACAAAGACTTAGCGAATAACACGGAAGTTCGAAGGGGAACCAGATGTAGAATTGAATCAAGCTTGTGTCGGATGGTTCCATTGCGACAGCGGCGCTAGATGTGCAGGATGAGTTCGATGACCCAACCTGGAAAGATGCTGCATGGAGGATTGCGCAGGAATGGGCATTCGATGACACGATGCACGGGAAGATACTTGCCACTGGCAGCACCTTGCTACTCCAGCCGCTGCAGCGATATGTTAACTTTCACAACACAGCAACAAAATGCAGGGGCGAAGGATAGTATCTGTCCCCCAAGTGGCGGATCTCTTTTGCAGACGATCATCAGGCATCCAGGCAGTATGTCAGAGTGACATCCGCGGCAGATCATGGTGCAAGCAGCTCTTGTAACAGCCTGAAGGGCAATCGAATTTTGTTCGTTAACCACAGGGTCAGATGCGGAAATACAATATTTTTGCAGGTCAGCGACGAACCGGCGTGCACCGCGGATCCTGGCGCTCTGCCGGTCGACTGATTCAGCCACTGCCTCAGCAATTCCACATTTCAAGACATCTGGGGGTTAGACAAGCATATGAACACCTATGACTATCGCCAGCACATTCTGATTCGTAATGTCCATGGCAGCAACCCAGTCTTTCGGGGCCGGAAAGAAGAGCCAAGCAGCTGTCGCCAGCGCACCCCCTTGTGAGACAGCGGCGATAAGCGTACGGTCCATTGGCGACTCACGCCAATGTCCCGCAACGCACGGCCTCTGATTTCCACTTGCAAGCTACAGCTTATAAAGACCCCCTAGCTGCTCCTTCCTGTCCGCGACCTCAGCAGTAAACGCACATCCTTCCATCTCTCGCGGAACCTGAAGAAGCTCCTTCGTGACCACCTTTGCTTCGTTTGTGGTCTCTGCAGGTGTGCTTGTACTCCGGCTGCTGTGTTGCCACTGTTCCTCCCTCCTCCCACTCTTTTCATATCGTTTACAATAAAATAATTTCATGTAAAATATCATGTATAATACAATATCTTTGCTCAGGGAGTGATCATGATTACCTTGCCTGGGCAGCGCCCCGAGAAGCTCCGCTGGCAGCACCCCGGCCTCCGCCGCTTCCTGCAAAGCCAAAAAATGCGCGTCAAATCGGCTCCGCTGAATTTGGGGAGGAACGAGGATGCCAGCGTGGCTTTGTACTTCTGCGCCTTCTTGTTCGGCTGCGGCTGCGTTTGCTTCCTACGCTTATAGTCTTCCTAATCTTCTTCTGCTATGAGCTTTAACTACTCCTGAATATGCTGCTCCCACTCCATGTGCTAGTCTCCTACTCCTCGCATGCCATTCGCGAATGGACGAGGACCACCATCACCTCGGCCACCAACCCTTACCAGCGCTACCAACACCACCACCACGATGACTACTACTCCCCCACAACACTTGTTGTCATCATCATCATCATCAATACTGGCACTCTCAAGCTCTCTCAACAGGCGAGACAACACTACGATATATACAACCTACAACATTAAGTTAACCATGACTTCCTGAGAAATCACAGCAAGCATCGCGGACGCACGGATGCCATCCGATCCGTCGGAGGCGCCTCCAACTGGAGGAGCCGAGCAATCTGCATGTCCTCTCCTCAGCATTCCGAGGGTATACGGCTTAGGTTCCTCATTCCGAAACTCCCCAACGCATGATCCTTTGGCGCAAGCCTATGCATCAGTACTCATCTCAATTCTCACGGATCCGTGGGGTTCAGGCTCAGAAACTGCTACCCACACGATTGCTGCTGCCACGATCGTAGGCAAGGGCTGAAAAGTGTCCACTTGAATGCAATTCACACCGGCTTGTGTTCATTTGTGCGAGCCTCATTCCCCGCCCCTAAAACTCCACTGACCTGCAATCAGCCTGTAGGCCACCTCCTTCCACAACTTGAAGCGGGGGGGCCAACCCCTCTAGACCATGAATGACCCTGAGCCCGAAGCCCAAAGTGATGTAGGGACCTTAATGATCAGAATAGGGTTTCGGGCTGCCTTACTATATGATTACGGCATGATGTACCCCCAAACCCGTTTTTCTAATCAATAAAGCACGCTTTCTTGTAGGACCCTTACAGGTCCCTTGTAGTAGCCCTTCTCCATTTAAAGGGTACCCTATTCTAATTCTCTCATAAATCAGAGACCAGAGGCCCCCGGTGGAGCGCCGGCGACTGCGACCGCCGGGAGTTCGGGGCCTTGCCCAAGTCTCCTCCTGAGAAGTCGTCGTGTTTGCATTTCACAGGGGTGCGACAGGGTTTAGGGCTTTAGGGTTTAGGGGTTTGGGGCAAAGGGCTTTAGGGTTTAGGGCTTGGGGCAGCTTAGGGCTTCATAACGATCCTGCAGGGTTTTAATGGCTCTTGAATTCTGGGGTCAGGGCTCTGCCTCGTTAGGGCTTTACGGATTTGGCTGTTAGGTCTTTTCCAGGGTCTTTGGAACCCTTTTCCTTTTGTTGTTCCGAGGCGTGTTCTGCAAGCGATGCTCCAGTTGTGTTTTCTACGCGTCAGGATCTTTACCGGCTTCGTGCTTACTGCATTCAGTAAGATTTGGCGGACGAATAACTACAGTAGATCTACACAAACATACGTACGTACATACATATATGTTTTGTATATGTGTGTATATATATATACACATATTTTATGTATATAATCGCAGGATGGCTCCTCTTCCGTCCCTTCGTCGATGAGCACCGCTGCTTCGTCCGGCCTGTGGCTCTCCTCGGGGCAGAGACCCCTAAAGAGACCCCCAGATAAGGTGCACGGTTTAGGGTTTAGGGTTTAGCTCTCAACCAAGGTATAGAGTTTGGGAGGGCTAGGGGATAAAAAGGGTGACGAGAACGCAGAAACCCTTGCTGTGCCATCGTGCCGCGGGGATCTCCAGCACTGGAAGCATGGCAGATGACGCGGAAGGGTTCGACGCAAAGCTTCGAGGCAGAGCACGGCGACGGGCTGGGCTACTGCAGCTCTCGAGATCTCCCGGCCAAGTTTCCAGCGGCGCTTCCCTAAGAGGCCGCGAGGACAGGGGCTCTGCAGCCTCTGTCTCCAGGCCATCTCCGTCCCTGCTCGATCCCTCCTTGGGTCCGCCTCCTGCTCCGCCGGATCCGCGTGCGCTCGCTGAGTCTGAAGGCACAGGAACCGGCTCCAGGGAGGGCTCCGGGGCCTTTGCTACAGTGGGCCCCACGCGCCACTGAAACCGGAAGGGAGCGCCGCCACGGGGCAGGCTCGGAGGTGGGGCCCCATCGGAAAGGTCGATGTTGCCGGCATTTACGTGTGGCCTGTACGGCGGAAGCAAAAAGAGCAAAAGCTGCCAAAGGCTAGGTGTTGCAAGCTCGCGCCTTTCGCCCTCTGGGACATCCCAAAAGAGCTGCGACTCTGACCTCTCCTGCAGACTTCTCCCCCGAAGGCACAGAGATGCACAGCGCTTCCCAACAGCCCAACAGCACGAAGCTTGGGCTGCGAGCCTCGGCCAGCCGCTTCAAACGTCGACGTGGCCGCTCGACAGCTCGATCGACTTGCTCGGCTGCAGGTTCGGACGGCACACCTGCAGGGTGCGACAGCTCTCTGGCATGCGAAGACGCAACAACCTGCGTGCGCACCACCTCCATGTTGTCAGGCACGAGGTATGCACATGTAGTCACATAGTGGAGAGCAGCAAGGGGGAGGAAGGAAGCGCAGGAACTGCTCTTGAACCATGACCAAGAATATGTTCGTCAACCTCGAAGACAGAAGCCCCAAGAGCCTTACCCCTTCCAAGAAGGACCTAAGAAAAGCCTAACACCCGAGAACTAGAAGCCTAGACCACCAACCCCAAAACCGTAGACCCTACTTTGGAAGACGAGGGGGCCCTAAGCCCTAGAAACAAGAGTCTTCGTCTGTTCTATACCCTGAACCTTAAACCCTAAACCAAACCCTAAACCCTAAACCACCCTTCTGTTCGCGCCTTGGAGGCCTATCTCACTGACCTCATAGGGCCGCTTTGGGAGCCGGCAAAGCCAGGACATAGCTCATGCCCAGTTACCGGCTTAGGGTTTAGGGTTTTTGAGTAGGGTTTAGGGGGTTTTGGTGTAAAGGAGATCCGGGTTTAAGCGTTTCGAGTTCGGGGTCCGGGGTTCAACGTTGAGACTTGAGGGTTCGGGTCTAGGTCTAGGAGGGGTTCGGGCTTAGGACTTATACTCCAGACGACATAGACCAAGTTGCTGCCTATTGGGGGCTTAGGGCTTAGGGCTCGGGGGTTTAAGTTTAGGGCTTGGGGCTCAAGATGAATCGAGTGCTAGCAACAAGTATAGCTCCATGTCTGGCCCTAGCTGCTTCTCTTGAGAAGGCTGGCATTGTAGATCATGGCAGCTGGCGAAGAAGGGCGTAAAGATGACCCTGCAAGCAGCACGGAAGGGAGCCGGCCTTCTCGGTTCGAGTAGTCCGCTCCTAGAGATGCGCAGAAGTTTCTGGGGATCTTCTGAGTGCTGCGATCAATCCAGGCCAGCCCCACCGTAACCACCGGACCTTTGCCGGGCACATTCCGCTCGCGCCTGCCCCGCAGATCCAATGGAATCTGAAGAGGCACTCGCGTCTGCAAATGTTGCTGTCTCAAGTGATGGTAAGTCTGACTGATGGTGGCGGCTTCGCAAACGCCTCACTGTGCGGTCAACAATTTTGGCCGTAGACCCGTCAGGAAGAGTCTTCTTGGTCTCAACCTCAGCAGGGCCAGCATGGCACACATCTCAAGAGCGAAGATGCCTGACAATCCACATCCGAGACTTTCTCTGGCATAACATGATTGAAGACAACACACCTCAGCCCGGCGCAATTGTCACATTGGTTCTTGTCACCTCTGAGCTATCCATGGGCCAATTGGATCGCTTTGGCAAAAAAGCCCGCTGCTTCACTCTCAGGACTCCACCGGTGAGCTGGATCCGGAGACCATCTCAGCTGAGCCCGGGAGTTCGGTGGTGCAAGGTCTTACAAGAATATCGGAGGAAGAGAATCTTGGCCAACCACTGGAGATGACTGGAGCATCCCTGGCAAGACCTGACAAAGCACTGGAACTTACTATGGGCTGGCTGGAGCAAGTAAAGACTATACCCCTGTACTACTCTAGACGACATTCTACCAGTAGATTTGCTTATATGCTATACTATACTAAACTGTACTGCACTATACTATGCTATATGTTGCAGAGGGGAAGCCGGAAGCTAGAGTCTAGAGGCAGGGGGGAACAGGCTGAGGGTGCAGCCAAGTAGGCAACCACAGCTGCCACCACCGCCCCGGCTCCTGCGACGGCTGCCTGCACATCCCGAGAAGCGCTTGCGAGACTGGCTCCCTATGTGCAATTTCCCGTGCGGCATATTGTAGTTAATTTATATATTCCATATCATGCTATATTACATCCCGTCTACTGCGTTCTGCCTCTTCTATTCGATTCTGCTCTTTACATATTTGCATGTTGTCTTATTGGATACTCTACTATAACATGCTCCCCCTGCTGTACCAAAGCATACTGTGCAGCATTTTGTCAACTTCATAATCAACCTCCTACTTTGTGCTGTAGCATATTCTGTTATACTAGGTTGCAGTTTAGTACGGTATCTCGCTCAGAATGATACTGTCGCTTCCAAGGTCATACTGCATCACCCTACCGAATACTGCAGTAAATTGAATCCGATTAGAGTAGATATTGCAGTATACTGCCATACAATGTGTTCTTATCTGAGGTACTGCAGCATCTAGCGGGTTGAATACAATAAGGCATGGCTTATTTGCGAAATGTATTCTACTGATCTGATGAGGAAATGACGTTTTGTACATGGATTTGCTATATCCACTTCTGTAGACTGTATTTGTCATATTATGTTGTATCATACTCCGATACAGACTGGTCTACTCTGGTATACCATGGCAAAGTACAGCATATCGCAATTGGATTTTGTGATTGGTCAACTATGCACATTCTGCTGTCCTGTCGCATGGCGATATGGCGGAATATATTCCAACATCTACATATATCTACCAGAAAGAACAACCGGACAAACGACAAGTGAAGTCCCGGCCCGCAGCCTGCACCAGGCTGTCGTTCCCAGCTGGCTCCTCCTTTGGTGCTGCCGGCTTTGGCGCGGCCTGCCGGTATGTTTTGCCATGAGATGGAAAAGGGGAATCAGAAACATTAAGCACCAGAATTGTCCCCGAGGGTTGCAACAGGAGCGACAGAGCCACTATGAAAAGCTTTACCTTGCCAAAGCCTAAACGCTAGACGAAGCTAGCTACCAGACTGCAGGGGATGTAGAATGAGAGCCATGGGAAAAATCGCTCTTGCAGGCCAGGTCTTCTGACACATCGGCAGTCAAACCTCTGGCGAGGTGACAAATGAAAAGATTTCTTTAAGAATTGAATCTCCTGTCGTAACGTTCCAAAGAGTGAAGCTGACGGATGTGCCAAAATGTCAAAAGAGTCTGTAAACATCCGATGTGCCAAAGCTACCATCAAAAAGTGTGCGTAGTGAGAAGTTCAGCAGGAGATATTCCCGTTCCAATGTCAGGCGGTTCGAAAAACATGGATACGCAGCTTTCTCACTTGCGGGGCTGTTGTGAAAGGCATTGACATGACAAAGTTGAGAGAGACAGATGCAGAGAAAGACCACATTTTGCAACGACTTTAGGCAACCCAAGAGCCGTACAACAGTCGCCTTTCAGAAGAACAAATCACAGCAAGCCGTGCTTAGCCTCACTGTGAAGGTTGTTGGTGATGTTGGGGTTAAGACATTGACCATGCATTAGATGCTCTATCTTACGTAGGTTGTTCACTCGAGGAAGACATGCAGCCATCTCGTGCGCCGTGCCGGAAAAGACAATGAGCCAGAACCTCCCAAAACGTAACCTGAAAATCCCAGAACGCTGAAATCCGCAACCCTAGAACCCCAAAGCTTGAATCCTAAAACCCTCCCACCCCACCCCCAAAACAAGCCCTCAAAGCGCCTAACAACCCCTCTAGTCACCCCTTATAGCAACCAACCCTTAAAATAGAGTAAGCCCTAGAGTAACCCCCTAATCAGGGCCTTAAGAATTACCTATATTATTTGGGTGGTTCCTTATTATAATTATGGTATAATGGGCCCCAAAACCCTATTCTAATTATTAAGGCCTCTTTATTACAGTGCCCTCGTAACCCTTGTAGACTTGTAGACCCCTTGAAAGGGAACCCTAACCCGAGAAGCTCGTGGGTTCCGCCTCGCCCAGCACGTAGCGCACGCCCTTGGGTCCGATCACGACCCCGGGGTCCTCGGGCCTCGGCTACAGGGCGGCAGGGCTTATAAGGGGGGCCTAGGGTTTAGGGGTTTCGGGGTTTAGGGTTTAGGGTTTAGGGGTTTAGGGCTTATGGTGTAGGCTTTAGGGTTTAGGGTTTATGGTGTCGGATGTTTAGGGTTTACAGGGTTCATTTGGCTCGTAGGGTTTATAGGGCTTGTAGAGTTTTCATTTTCGGGAGGAGCCGGGCCGTGACATATAAGGCTGGTTGTATGACACGCTCAAACAGCTGTAAAGGGCTTCTTCGAGCTTTAAACTTGATATTGGGTTCTACAGGTTCAATAAGGATTCTACTGGTGTCGGTCTTGGGCTGTAGATGCTTCTAGAGCTCTTAAATGAGGGCTTCGAGGATTCAGCCGAGAAGATGAACCTAGGGTGGACCCTCGCCGCTCCTGCCCAAGCTGAGTTCCGGGCCCGACTAGCTCGCCGCGAAACTCCACCATGACACCGGAACTGCCACGGTTTAGGGTTTATGGTTTAAGCATTTATTTGTTGGTGGGGTTTAGGGTTTAGGATTTAGGGTTTAGGCATTTGTTTTTTTGGGGGGGGTTTAGGGTTTAGGATTTAGCTGCCAAAAGCCACTGTTGGGACATAAACTTGCAGATGCCGTAAATGGTTCGGAGTTCGCCTCAGCTTGCCCCGGAAGCGGCCATCTGGCAACAGCTTCCACGCCTAGCACAAATATCGCGAGCTTCGGATGCTTTCTTGCAAACCTGTGCAGCACTCAATCTGTGGTTTACCCAGCCTGCAGGCCACCCTGACGTCCTCTTATTTCACTTAACTGATACATGCGGAAACGAACCACGCAGAGTATCCATCCACTGCTGGCCTCAAGCAATTGCTCCTTCGTAGACACCTGGCAGGCTGATCCAGCTTCTGAGGGAGCTGGCTCACAAAACTCTACACCAAGTTCTACGGCTAGGCTCGGTGGAAACCTCGACTGTCGGACCAGACTGATTGACAATTGAAAATTGATAGGGTTGGGCGTATCGCAGAGCGATTTCGGATCGCACAGATCTTGCAAGGGATTCCATAGATGTCCAGATAAAGGAGGAATCCTCAATGGTGCAGCATGCAACAGTTAATTAATGCTGCGGATAAGAAGCATCATCTATCAGCCACATCGGCGGGCACCTCACTGCGCGAGGCCGTTCGTCGAGCTGCGATGCCACCGGAGCCCTATGCCGACAGGAGGTTTACGCAGCTGCAGAACACTGCTGTCCACTTGCATGTACACTAAGCTTTAAAGTCCATGAAACTGGCAGAATGCCGAACTGGACCAACTAGACGTAGAAGAACGTAACTGGCAGTGTTCATGTCGTGGCACGAAGACTTGAAACAGCAGGACCACCTTGACACAATTCACAAGCATCGAGTCCTGCTTTCGCAGTGCAGGCCGGATCTGAAAAACTGCCGGCAATCGCATGGCGCTGCCGGGCCGACAAACCTGAGAGCCGATCGCTTCAGGGACGCGGTCTGTGCTTGCACGATTTCGCGGGCTTCGGGTGGTTTGACGCATGACGGAGTTCTTGGTATGTCCCGAGACCAGCGGGAATCCGTGACATCCCTGCACGGTCAGACGGGAACTAAGGTCACATTTGTCCAAGGCGTTCTTTGCGAGGCAGTAGCCTTGCCCTACGGGAGGCCCGACACAGGACCTATAGGCCCCTGCACCGTTCTTGAATCGGCCGAACGCTGAATGCAAAACAAATAAACCCCGCAGAAGGAGCAATTGAAAACAATTCAATCCCGCGACACACGGGCCGTCTACAGATACTTCAAAACTTGATGTCCAGGTCCAGCCAAGAAAGTCTCAGGGCTGCAGGTCTGTGGATAGGGCGCGCAAATGTGGAGCTTGCAGCTGCACCTGCGAGGCAACAAGTGCTCGACTCGACAGCATGCCTCGTAAAGCTGTTTTCAGAAAGCCTTAGCATGCTATGATGCATGCGGCTTCTACAAGCTTGGCCGATGCATAGATGTCCTGCGGTTGAAGAGGGTTGCAGGAACTTGAGGGTGAGACTTCACAGGGAGACCCTTCGGAAAAACCTGCCTGCGCAGGGCATGGTGATATTGAAAAACCACGCAGGTCCATGATCACGTACAGCAGGCTTACCGAAAAGCAGAATGCAGGCACAGGTGCATGATGGAAGAGTGCTGTCAAAACTTTTATGGTTGTGCTACTGCTTTTCGAAAACAGTAATCAAACATGAGAACCTCTCCTGGTCCTGTGGGTCCATGTTTGTGGGTACCCGTCTACTTCTCGCTACAAGGAGCCCTTGAGCTAAAGCTGCGATAGTCCAGATCAGAGATGCTCTTTCTGATGCAGCAAATTTGCTGCTGCCGCGGAGGGAGTCCCTATGCATCCAACTCCCAGATGACTTCGCTCGGAGTTCCGGGAACTTCTTTGCAACATCAGCAAGCAGCCGGAAGAACCTTTTTGCATATAGTACCATGTTGAGTTCACGGGTGTTCTTGGTTCAGATTTGGGTTGAACCTCACCTTGCTCCAAAAAGCTCGCTTCCCTGCCGTGCGGATAAGGGCTGTGGTAACCCTTCAAGATCTCTTTCTCTACTTGATGCACCCGGGGTCGGAACCGTCAGCGTGGCGACTTCGCGCATGAAGTCCCAACCGAGAGCAGCGTCAACCCTGCAACAGGGATTGTGAACTAACCGTTCGGACGAAGCCGGGGCGAGCCTTAGTTCTGCACGAAGGTGCCGGAGGCCACGGCCAGATGTCAGTGTCAGGAGATCCAGGACCAGCTGCGCTTGACCTACAACTGCATTTCCTCGATATGAACATGGCAAACCTGGAAAATACCTTGGCGCACTTTTTCTTCTTGAAGCTCCGAGAAGGTCCGCAGCGCATGCTTTGCGGGCACTTCGTTCATTGTTCAGTGTCTACTTTGAATTCAACCTGCAGCTTCTGGCAGAAACCGCAAGTGATGCAGGTTTTCCTGCCGTAGTATTTGCAAGACGTTCGTCGCTCTGTTCCGGAAGGTCCGGCAGTGCTTCTGATGCAGTCACTTTGTTCAGTGTCTGCTGTGAATTGAAAGTGCAGTTTGGTGGAGAGGCCCTTTCCAGAAAAACGGCGAACGACCAGAGTACCCACAGCCGCAGTCTTCAAGCCTTGACTAGAAACTATCTGCAGAAACAATCACAAGCGAGAGCCACATGCCCGAGACCATTGGTGGGGGGCATGTTGGTTCTGAAGGACCTCTCCTGAACTCTCACAGTTCAGAACCCTCGTTAGGTACGGGGTATGATGACTGCAATGGATCCATTTTGAGCTCTCACAGCTTCTCGTCTTCCGCCGGTTTGTCCTCGTCCTCCGCACCGTCGGGACGCTTCTTACCCTCCTCGTCCTCTGCACCCCCGTCAGCCGAAGTTGTATCAGCATCGGTGCCCTCCTCGCCCTCCGCCGATCCGTGTATGCCAAATCCACCGAAAGCTCCGGAGCTCTGCCACCGGCCTGCCAAAGGATTCACACGGGCGTTCTGCGGGACCACGGACTGAAACACCAAGGGGGCATCGGTGTAGGTCACCTCTTCCGGGAGGTGCTCCAGCGACAGCCTCTGGCGTGTGGGTGCTCCACGGAGCGAAGCCACAAGGTTGAACACTTCTTGGCCCGAATTCTCCAGGGACAAGTCGATCACGTAGACCCAGGGCGTCTTCTGGTCTACCAAGGACTTGTTCTTGATTGCCACGCGGGCCATGGGGTGCGAATGCAGGGGATCGGCGGACATCAGAGTCACCCGCCAACACGGCACCGGATCAACCATGTAAACCCTCTCGATCTTCACCTCCACATAGCTGTCCCTGCCGGCCACGGCCTTAACACCGGCGCGGCCAGCCGTCCCCGGCTGATACTCATAGGCAGTCTCGGTGAGTGCGAACTTGCAGCCGCAGGCTGCAAAGCAATCAACACAAGGCTTGCAGCAGGGTGGGCATTTGCAGCAAGGTGGACACTTGCAGCAGGGTGGACATTTGAAGCAGGGCGGACACTTGAAGCACGTGCAGCACTTGCCACAATCACACTTGGGAGGACAGCATCGTGGACAGCACGCCTGGCAGCATCCACAGCACATCGCCATGCAGCCGTCGCAAAATCCAGCACAAAAGGCCTCTCCACTGGTGGTTGTCGTCTTTTTGATTGTCCTCCCCGCCGTGGCGGCCACGGCAGCCTGCCCAGCCACCGCCTTCACGGCGGCATGGTACTCTGTAGTGGTCCTTTCTTCAAAATGCCTGTCCGCTGATTCAATTACCTCCACGAGCAGGCCGTCGTCACTTCGGTACAGATACCTGATCAAAGCTTGAAACAAGTTGACACGTTGCACAGACACTCACAACTCGCCGGTCAAAGTGCATTAAGTTGCCATCCCACAGTAGGTTCGAGGTGCCCCTTCGGCCCGACGTGATGAAGGCATGATCCCCGGTATGATCTTTTATATACATGCATACTTATATGTACATAAATATACATATACATATATATATATGTATTTTCATATATACATATATATGATCGGCATGTATCCCTGATAATTTGGGTACCTCCACAATACTACCATTTCACGGAACCAGATCGCAGCAGCATTGTGTGCTGTCTTGAAAACCGCTACTTATTGTCGCCTTGACTGCGACGTTCTTTTTCGAGTATTAGCCTGCCGACGGCAAAAGCATTTCCACTCAGGCTCGGGTGCCCTGGGCCAGTGCGGTGGACCTCGACCATCCGCGGCAGACTGTCTGCGTAGGCGGCTTGCACCTTGTCAGGGAAGAACCCCACACTTTCACAGACGCAAAGGAACTTCATTCCGGTAGTACCAGACTTCGCTCGCTCCACTCTGGGTTGCACAGAACATGAAGTGGAGAGGGCAGAGCTAAGCCTTCTGCACACAACATGGTAACCGGCACCTTCTTGCCGGAGGCTAGCCACTTGACATCTCGGAGCTCGCCCTTCAGCTCGGCCGTCCAATCGATCTCTTTCAAGATGATCATGTTCTTCATCTTCAGGCCTTTTGTGGTCATGGGCTTATCCATGAAGGAGTCGGCACCGGAGCTCAGCAACTCTGTCTTGGCAGGGATCTTTGCCATGATCTTCTCCGCGCCCCGCGGCAAGACCTTCTCGAAGGGGTGATCGGAATCCAGGAGGTTGTTGGCCTCCAAGAAGAAGTCGAAGCCGCTGCTGAAGGAGAGCGCATAGAGGCCGTAAAAGAGATTAAGTGGGTTCTCATGGCTCCAGCTTGGGTGGATGCCCTCTTCTGGAAGCACTGCTGTTGCCACTTCCGTCGTGATCGACTTCGTACCTTTGCCCATCTCCTGCTGAGATGGAGCCGTGGTCTGCTGGGGTGCTTCACTGGGTGTGGTGGCCGCCGGAGGCGGGTTAGCTGCTTCGGGCTTTTCGGTCTTCGAGCCAGTGAACCATTCCATGCTTGGCTTCAGACCCTCTTGGGCTGGGCTGGGCACAGTGGGCGGATGAGACTAAATCAAGCCACAAAAACGCTGCGCATGGTCATGTCAATGCGTTTTTGCTCTCTTGCTCCAGGCTCCCTTCTCAGGACGTGCTCTCCGTGACCGCCTCGCCCTTGGGGCCGCCAGGGGCACCGTGCACCTACGAAGCCAGCCTGGCAGCGAGAACATGCAAGACATGAATGCAGCCTGTCACTTCTGAAAGGCCACATGCCCGTACTAGGCCCGCCTGCAGCTTGAGTGATCCGGATGCAGCATCATGCTGAGTCCTGCGGACTAGCTACGATTCCCCTACGGCAGGCCAGGCGAAGGAAGCTCCACGCTCGATGACACGCATCTGCCGTTCTTCAACGCGCACACAAGTCCTTTGAGGGCGGATCGATCGAAGGCCTGGCAGATCCGGGAAGACCGAGCAGATTTGAAAGTCCAAGTGCTGTGGTGCTCCTCCTCGTCTACCAGGTGCCCGCATGACCACAGGATACCACACGTCCCTCTGCAATGCAAGCATGGCATCTCCGTTGAAAACAACTCATGGAGTTGCGACGTGATTTCTCATGCGAGTAATTAAGAAGCAACTACGAGGATCTTGCCCTTTCTGTTATCCCGACTCTTCTAGCAAACACTTGATGAACCTAGGGTTTGACCCTTGCCGCTGTTGCCTGAGCTGAGCCCTGGACCCGACTGGCTCTCCGCGGAACTCCACCATGATACCGGAACTACAAGCCAAAACCCACTCTTGGCACAGAAACTTCCAGATGCCCTAAAAGGTTCGGGTTGGGCCTCAGCTTGCCCCGAAAGCGGCCATCTGGCAGCGGCTCCACGCCTAGCACGGTGCACGAGACGAAAACACACCGAGCTTCGGATGGTCGTATTTCGAACCCGTACAGCTTTCAGTCTTTCGCTTACTATTAGTTTACTAAACCCGGCACATCTTGTCGGCTGAACTGCCACGTGCGAAAATCAACCACAAGAATATCCATCCATGCTTTGCTGGCCTGGAGAGGGTGCAAACACGCAAGGGCCCACGACAGGTGTGGGTGCCCCTGGGTTTCATGCAGCATCGGAGGCAAACCCCTTCTGATGGAGATAGCTCACAACACCCTACAAAGAATTCTACTACCAGGGTCGGTAGACGCCTCTACTGTGAGCAGAAGACAAGAGTGATCGACAAATGAAGTACGTCGTAAAGTTGGATGCAATGTGAGTCTGGTAGATCGCACAGGACTTCAAAGCCTCCAAGCATGTCCAACCAAAAGTGGGTGTCTTCGGAGCTCACCGACAAGAACTTCACGCAGCTCCCCGCGACTTCTGAGCGCATACATATATAAAGGTTATGAGCCGACAAACCTGAGAGATCCTGAGAGCCAATTGCGCACAAGCCATGCCTAAGGGACGATTCCAGGGCCTTCGGTTTTGGACGCATGCATTTGGACGCATGCATGACATTGCATGACTGTGTTCTTCTGCCCCGAGACACAAGAGGAAGCCACAACATCCCTAGAACATCCCTGCAGCGTGAGATGGGTACTAGGTAGCTGACATTTCTCCAAGGCCATCTTTGCCAGGCCACACAAACTAGCCCTGCATGCCGGGAAAAACAGTCCAACTGGGATGTCTACTTTGGTGTCCGCTCTCTTAATCTCTAGGCGAACGCGGGAAAGTCTCAAGGCGGCTGAGGATGGGACGAGTAGACCTGGAGCTTGCTGCACCTGCGACAAGTCGACGGAGCCGGACTCCACAGCTAGCATTGCAAAGTTGATTGAACTAATTGCCTATGCATCACTGTGATGCATGATGCTTTCACACCTGGATGATGCATAGACATCCTGAGGCTGACGAGGGTTGGAGGCAGGTAAGGTCTGACGCTTTGGAAACAGCCTGCACATCGCATGGTGTCATTGAAAAGGCACGCATATCCAATATCATGTATAGCAGGTCAACTGTGAAGCAGAACACAGGTGCATGAAAAAACTGTGCGGCCGAATCAAAGCCCTGCGTGTCGTTGAGCTTGTGCTAGCTTGTCATCTCAAAGATAAACATTATCAAAACCAGAGAACATCTCATGGTCTTTGGGCCATGTCTACTTCTCACTAAGAAAAGTTAAAGCTCCTGAGCTGAAGCGGCGACAGTCAGACTTTGAAACACTTCTCCATTTGACACAAGGCACTGGTGCCGTCTTTGGCTCTCTTTTTCCTCCGAGCCATGCTCCTTCATACGACGCTGCAGATCAAGAGGGACTCCCATAATCATAATCATAATCATAATCATAATAATAATAATAATCATAATAATCATAATAATCATAATCATAATCATAATCATAATAATAACAATAATAATAATAATAACAATAATAATAATACTAATAATAATAATCCGCTCCGAAGCTCAAAGTCGGGTCCCTGGTTTGGGCATGCGCACTGGTATTTGTAAGACCATGGAGAGCAAGGCTGTTGTAGGCAATGACATGGGTATGCTCGCCGATAGCCGCACCGCATCATGCAGAGATAGGCGCATCTTGCGAAGAGATTCCTTTTACCATCCTCTGGATGTCACAACCAGGCAGCAGGGAACGAACCCATGCTGGTGATGGCAAGGTCAGGCACTCTATGCAGAGGCAACAGCGCCGTTGCACAAGCTGCGGTGCCCTCAACAGCCTTCGTTGGAAGCGAACAGTCCCTGTTGCAGATGGCCTCCGCGCGCATCGTTTGATAGCTAAGCCGCACATTGTGGCTCAGCTGCTATAAAAAATATGGAACCGGACAACGGCCGTGTCAATTTTTCCACGGATTGGATCAAGCCGAGCCTCTGCGAATCGCGGCCCACAACCGACCTGTCACAGGCAAGTGGACCCGACCTAGGGAAAGGCCAGCAGCTCGACAGCGCAAGGCCACCCCGCGACGTAGGAGGAGTGAAACACCGCCTCACACAAGAAACTGATGCTGGACAACGACACATCTCGGAATCGGTGTGGTCTTTGATTGATTCCATGATACACTTGACAAGAGCTCCACGCATCGCGAGCATGGAGTCGGCGTCGTCTTTTTTGATCAACTTCACATTACACAACGCAAGAAATTTTCATCGGCTGCACGCAAGTCCCGACTGCTGAAATTAGACTTTTCTGTGAAGTCATCCAATCACGCAATGGATGTAGCGTGCAATCACCGAAAGCACCATTTAAAATCTCACAAGAACACAAAATGTCAGCAAGGACGTGAAAGCCAGAAAGCTCTCGTGCGGATGCATGCTGCTGCATGGAGCTGGAAAGCAGACTTCTGCGCTTCAACCGACCGGCGGCACGCATGTCCAGTAAAACGTCCTGCACGACCCTAAACCCTAAACCCTCCCTAAACCCGAAACTCTAAACCCCACTGGCCTGAAAACGCAGCCGACCTGCAAGAGACACTCTGCGCGGCAGCACCGCACTGTCAGGACAAGCTTGATGTTAGTGGGTGCACACCTGCAACGCCCGGGTTAAAGGGTGATGACTGAAAGACGGATTTGTGCTTCAGCTGGCTTGCAGAGTCTTAGAGGTGACACGACAAGTTCTCGGTCAAGAGAGCTTCATCCACACAGCCCTTTGCATGTCACAGGTGTGAGTTGGGGGAAGACGTCCTGCTATCACATCTCTCGCGACGATCCATGCAAATGCGTCATGTACACTTAGAGAGGAACGGGGCATCGGCAAACGAAAAGCAAGGGTTTAGAATCCGTCCCCGGGCCGGGCAGCACAGATCGCATAGAAATGCCCGGGCAGAGAAGAGCGCAAATCGGCCGTCATGGGTGTGCAGCCGTGGGCGGCGCGGCAGATGGCATGTGGAATATGCACAGCGGCCTTCTGGAACGAGCGGAATGTGCAAAAAAATGTGCTGCCTTCTCTGGCTTCTGGTACAACCTCTGCAAAATGCTGGGCCTGCTGGGCCTGGAACACTGGCTGAGCATGTCTAATGCTCACTCGACTGTGCGAGCAGCGGGCGGTTTTGCGTCGCAATCGTCTTCGCATGCGCCGATGCAGACGCAGGGATTTCAGAAGAAGGCTGAGGTCAGAGGCGGCAATGTCAAAACACAAATCGAAAGAAGTGTCCGAGAGCTGCTGGGAGTGCTGAACAAGTGCAAGGCGTGCGCCTGGGCCCGTGCCGGCGCTCAAGATAAGCGCTCTGGGCGGGGATGCGAAGTCGGGAACGCTGCGAGGCGGGGCTTTCAGCTTGGCAGGCTTCCGGCGAGCACGAAGGTCCTCAGACCGTTTGCTCCCGTCCCCCCTTGCAGCTCCCGGTGCTTAGAAGCTCCTGGAGCTGCAAAGGGATGCATCGCCGGAAAGCACGGCGCGGGTGATTTCAGTGAGACCGGGGACCCTGAGAGGAGAGTTCAAGATCTCTGCGAAGGTTCATGCTGCCGCAAGGGCACAATAGGGGCTTGCTTCGAGAAGACTTGGGAACCTCGAAGATGCGGATTTGGGCGACTTTTCTCTCTCAACTCTGCGAACCTGAAGGCCTCCAGAAGAATCATCGGCATGTTTGCATCATCGCACCCCTGCCTCTTCCAGCAGCCTCCCAAGTGCAAGGCCAAAGGAAAGCTGAGACAAAATGTCACGAGGAGCCCCGCAGAGCAGCAGGGACACGCTGTGCGGGATGGCAGCAACCACAGCGGCGTCAGAAGTGAAGTCGAAGCCGGGCCCTGCCCAACGCTCGCAGCTAATACCAATAACAATAGTAATAGTAATAATAAAATAATAATAATAAGAAGAAGAAGAAGAAAAAATAATAACAAGAATAATAATAATAATAATAATAGCAGTATTAATAATAATAATAATGATAGTAATAATAATAATAATATGAATAATAATAATAATAGCAGTATTAATAACAATAAAAATAATAGTAATAATAATAATAATAATAGCAGTATTAATAATAATAATAATAATACTAATACTAGCAATAATAATAACAATATTA